AGTATTAGCGGCCTTGATAAAACGCCCTCTTGTCCTCCTCTCCTGCTGCTGCAGTCTAGATAGGATATGAGAACAAGAAAAAAAGGAAGGAAGGAAAGGAAGGAAGGAAGGAAGGAAGGAAGGAAGGAAGGAAGGAAGGAAGGAAGGAAGGAAGGAAGGAAGGAAGGAAGGAAGAAAAGCAGCTGAGGACAGAGGAAGGCCAGGGAAGAAGGAACTCTACACGTGTAATAGATAAAACCAGATAAAACCGCTCCTGCTCTAAACAAAACACATATAAACCTTTAATTATGAAAATAACACCTAGTCTTTTTTTTATTCTTCTACGTTTTTTTCTTTTTCTAATAACACCTAGTCTTAAAAAAGCTTTAACTTTCAAAAGACAGAACTACTATTTCATTAAATTTCATTTAAAATTTAATTTGTTTTCATCACTTTCCCTCTTTGAATTAATCAGATCATACGATACTTAACTATTGTGATTTAAAATATTAAAGACTTAAAGGGAAAGGGGAAAAATTCATGGGTATAGGAGTTGGTGAAGCATCCAATCACTTAATCCTGGATAGTTCTCCACACCATTTAAGAGGAGAATAAAAATGTCTTGTATGGCCTCAAAAGACCAAAAAAAAGAAAGGGGCTTTTCTACTACGGCTGGGGGGATTCTTAAGAAAAAAATCAGGAAGTGTAGGGAAACCAGGTCAGAGAAGTAAAAACAAAAACCACAATGTTACAAAACCTATAAGGCAAGCGTGGTTCCCACGAGCTTATGCAATAAAAAGCAAAGTAGCTGAGACAAGGAAAAGCAGTTTGGCCAGAGAAAATCTGCCCTGAAGACAGGGCTCTTGGAGCTAAAGGGTTCCCACTGCTCAGCCTGTCCTGCTGCCTGACCTAGGGGAGACTGGGGCCTAGAGGTGAGTGCACTTACCAAGAACATACTGGGCATAGCCAGGAAGAAACTGATTGTGACTCCTGGTCTGACTCCTGCCTCAGTCTCCTCAGTGAGAAGTGACGGTGAAAAGTGATGTTGCACTCATCAGCTAGTAGCAAAGAACTACCAATGTAGTTATTATATTCCAAAAACTAGGATAAAATATCTTTGTAGCTCTCAAAGGTGAGCATACACACCCATGACCCAGCAATCACACCTCTTCGTATACCCCCATCAGAAGCGCATACATATGTATACCAGAGACCGGTAAGAGAACAGTCACAACAGCATTACTTGCAGTAGCCAAGTGCTGGAAACTGCCCAAATGTCCATCAATAGTGCACAAATTAATATGTGGTTTATTATTCACCCCATGGCCAAATCAGCAATGAGAGTGAATACACTACAACAGGTAGCACCATGAGTGAATCACAGAAAACTAACTGAAAGGAAAGACAACGGACACTGTAGGATTCCATTGATACAAGTACAGAAAGTCAGGCAGGGGTTACCCTTGAGGAAGTAGTGGCTGTAAAGGACTGTAAGGGCAGAAAAAATGTCCCTTCTTCCCTTCTAGATTCTTTGGCTGATATAACAATTAAATTGCTAGAAGGCAGATTAACAAAAGAAAAACAAATTTAACTTATCTACAGGAGCCCCATAAAAATATGACTGACAGGAAGCCAGGTACTTGTTAACATCCTCTTTTATTGTCCATTCACCTCCCAAGAGCCAACCTGCTACTGGGTTGTCGGAAAAGTTATGATGCATTTTTGCAACGAAAAACATAGAAAAAATACGTACATCATGACTTTTCTGACAACCTAATAGATAAATGCCCCTCACTGCTGCCAAATAGCCCAGCAAGGAAAGCAAGGGAAGAACTGGAGGAGACAAATCAGAGAACAAAGGTTTGTTCTTATTCTGCCTTGAACATATCCTTAAAATTCATACCAATCTATTTTAATGACATGGGACAATTTGGTAGTTTGTGCCCAAATTATAAGCATATTCAAAATAGGCAGTCATAAATTCAAGTTTTTAGAATTTATGCCTGTCAGCCTTCTCTTTCCTCTTCCATAAACCTCTTCATGCCTTCCTATCTCACCCATTTCTTTTCTTGCCTAGGGGAAGAAATGGTTACTAATTATAAGCAAGGTACGTTTCATCTCACAGAAACAGCAGCGCTCATGATGGGCAGACATGTCAAAAGACCCACGACATCTGGTTACAATGCTCTTGCAGCTTACAGCAGCCTCTCCCTGCCCAAGCACTGGTTGGAATTTAGGTGACCCCCAGCTCTTGGAGGAGAGATATAAGACATTCTAAGCTGTCAAGCTTTCAGGGTTACACAAGTGAAATATCACAACCCTTTTTGACTGTTTTGGGGATAGGGGTTTCTCTTGCACAGTTTTAGGACATGCGTCTTTCTGTGAAAGAGGATTAGTAGTCACAAGCCACGAGGAGGGCTCAGCTAAGCACCAGAGGACAGATGAGTCTCCCTCCTCTTTATAACCTTAATACCCAGCACTGTGCTTGGCACAGGAAGAACAGGGGGCCCAAGGGTGCTGCATAAAGCATAGCATGTAAAACCACTTTCTCTTTTAAACGAATGATACCTAATTAGGCAGAAGACATACACATGCACGAATTATAAAACGTGAGGTCATAAAATTAGTCTTTCAAGTCAACTAGTAATTCTGTAAGAACCTCTTTACTCCTAAACATTTTGTTGTCCGAATCACGAAACCAGGGGCCTGGAAGGGAACTCGGTCATGAGCAGGTCAGGCCTCCCGGTACAGACAGACCAAGACACACAGCCCCACGGGGCATCAGTGTTGGCCAAGGTCACTCAGCTGGTGTGAAAAAGGGGCAGGACCCCACCTCTCCCTCTTTGCCAGGCTCCTCAGAGATGCTCTCTGAAAACCTTGAGGTTACTTACACACTAAAGGCACATAATGAATGCATACTCAGTTTAAGTCACTGCTTGCGATTCAGGAAAAAAACAAAAGTCACCAAAACGTATCTCTTCCGCAGGGCTGGACGCAGAGGGGGGACAGAGAAGGTCACTGGCAAATTTCTACCTGCAGACATCACACATTATGCCTTCCCGATGGCTGTAAAGGGCTTTTCGGGGGGCTATCCCCCAATCCCGTCCTGGGAAAATGAGTTAACTCGGCTCTGCTGGCTTGGAAGCTTCCAGCAATGAATTAAACCCCGAGGCGCTACGGAAAGCTGGGGGGAAAGGACCACTGCGGCTGGACTCGACACCCTGGCGATTCACCCTGCGCTTCCACCGCGTCCACAGTTGCGCGGGCCTCAGAGCCCCACGCTAGTCCACGCGACCGGAGGCCACGACTCTGAGCCCACGTCCCAGCGAGGCGCGTCTGGGGGCGCCGAGCCCTGGACACTGCCCATGGGGGATGGGGCGGAGCCGCTAGGCCCAGCTAGGCTGGGGTACCGACGGATCGCGGCCGCCGCCCCCAGCTCGCTGGCCCCGCTCCGCCCAGGGAGGGGGCTGCGCCACGTACCTTGGCCGGCAGGTGCCGCCGCCGCTACCGCCGCCTCGGTTCGCGGCTTCAGGGGACGCCGCTCCGCGCCGCCCGCCGCCTTGGTCCGCATACTAGGGAGGGGGCGCCGGCCGGTAGCCAGTCCCGGGCCCCGCGCCCCCGCCTGTCCCGAGGGCCCCGCTCTTGCCCATTCAGTCCCGGACCATCCGCTCCCCAGCGCAGATGCGGAGGAGGGGCGTGGGGGTGGGGCCGCCAGTCACGAGGACACGGGAGACCAATCCGAGCGCGCGAGGGCTACCGCGGCGGCCCCACCCCCAGGACGAGCAGCCTCTCCACCCAGCCGGGTTGGGGGAGCCGGGCGCTCCCAGCTGGACGCGCCCCGCTGGGGGTCCAGAGCGTTCACTGCTCTCTCGAGCTTTGCGGTTAGATGGTGAAAGGAACAAACGGTGTGTTTATAGGCTTTTATTGCATAGAGGACACGTAGGTGCTGAGTTGGTGAATGAAGGGACTTGACGTAGTCGCGTGCTTTCTTTAATAGCCAGCATAGCCTCCCAGGCCAACACTGGTTTCCAGCTCCTGGGGCCCTAGAGACCTACACGAAGGCAGCTTGGGCGTTTCTGGAGACATGCGGAACAGCTTCATGTTGTTCCACGTGTAGGATAAAAGAGTGAGGGCGCTGATTACCCATCAGTTTTACAGATGGGTAATTGAGGCCCAGAGAACAGAAGTGAGTCACCCTAAGTCGCTGGAGAATTTAGGGCAGAGCCAGTATCAGAACTTGCGCTTGGAGCACCTACTTCCATACCTCCGAAGTCCCCTTGGATTCTGGAGAGGAAATGTGTCACGAGCGACTGCTAGGCTCACGAGGGAAATCTTAGAAAGGAAAGGATGGGAGGACTCTGCTTTCACACCTCCCAAAGAGATTTTGCCATAAAAAAATGTTCTGGATTATTCTAAGGTGAGGACATGAACGTTTGGGGGGGGGGGGGAATGGAGGAAAAGCTGTCACTGGGAGATCTAATCCAGGTTGGCCAAGGCTGGCCAGGCAGAGCAGCTGCCTGGGTCAGTGACAGCTGCAAAGAGAATGATAAACACCTCACCCCCTCTCTCTTGGAGACCAGCCTGAGGCCTGCCTGATTCATCAGTCACTTTACCTCTCTGCCTCAGTCACTCTTCCCCCTTTTCTCCCAGATACTCCTTGTGCATAGAGCCAGGCAACTGAAAGCATTATAGCTGGCTTGGGGGTCAGTAGTACCCTGGCTTGGAAGAGTGGATGTTAAGAAGGTGATGAAGAAGAAAGGGAACTTGAAGCTGCCTCCTGTCTCAGTTCTTAGTTCCTTATGCTCATTACTTTGGTCATTCTGTTAGCAGGCATTGTGGTTGTCCCCATCATCTGCCTCACCCTTCCCCTCTGTAATGCAAGATATAGTTTAGGTAAGTTTGTCCTACTGTTAGCTCTGTGAGTGGGGTCTAATTGGTCTAAATAAGCAGTTCTCTAAGAATGGTCCGTGGACCCTTGGTGATCCCTGAGGATCTTTCATGGACTCTCTGAAGTCAAAATGATTTCATTATAATTGAAAACATTACTTACTTTCGTACTGATGGTACAAAAGCAGAGATGTACAAAACTGCTGGTGCCTTTACAAATCAAGATAGTGGCACCAAACTGTACTAATAATCTCTACCACTACATATTCATGGTTAAGAATATTCACTTAAGAATGTTCTTGGGCCAGCCAAGTGGCGTGATGGTTAAGAACTGGCTTGGGATGCCAGAGGGCCCCGGTTCGGATCCCACATATGAGGGCCAGTGACACTGCCCTCCACAGCTAAGATGCTGAACAACAAACAGCTCAACTTGGAGCTGGGCTGCCATGAGTTGCCGGCGACGGCGTAGGCTGCAGCCCCTGTGGCAGTGGGTTGCCATGGGCTACTGTGTGTAGCCAGCAGATAGCGTGAGCGGCCAGCAGCCGCGGTGAGCGGCTGTCCAGAAGCCGGCAACTGATCTACCTCGCCTGGGAAGAGTGCAATGATGGTGCCAATTTGGGCCAGTGAAGCAACGTCCTCCACAACTAGACTGAAGAACAAAAACGACAGCAACTTGTCTGTTCCCCTTCCCCCAATTCTCCAGCGCTGTTCCCATCCCCCAATTCCCCAATAAAAATCTTTAAAAAAAGAAAAAAAAAAGAATGTTCTTGATGGAGCAGTAAAAACTATTAACTTTATTAATATGAGTATTTTAAATATATGACAAAATGAAAACTGCACAGAAAACACTTGCTACAAACTGAAGTATATGATGGTTGCCTAAGGAGAAGCAATCATTTGTGTTGCAAGCTGAACTAGCTGTTTGTTTTATTTCATGGAACGCCATTTTTACATGAGAAAACAACTGACAAATTATGATTATTCCGATTTGGGTATCTGGTAGGCATTTTCTTGAAAATGAACTAAGGGAGCCTGTCTGTTCAAGGAAAATAGTCAATGATTTATTGCCAATGACGAAAAAATTTCAGTTTTCAAAAGAAATTTAGAATTTTGGAAAACTGTCATCATGAGTATGACAGTTTCTCAATATTTAAGGACTTTTCTGATGGGAACAATGGTGGTATTAATGAATGTGATTTTTGGATATTGGGTAATGTGTAATGTCTCAACATTTGCAAGACCTGGATTTACTCAGTGAGTCAATGTTTTCCAAATGGCTAATGCATGATGTTACAAAATCATTGATTTTTAAATGCAAGGTAGACAATGAATTTTAATTTAGCAATATGAAAGGTTTATAGATGAGGTTTTAGATTCCACAGTGCAACAAACCTTTAAGAAATTACCTCCCGGAAAGTTTTGGTAGAGTATCAAAGAAGCATATCCACAATTTTATTAAAAAGCTATTGAAATACTCCTCCCTTTTCCAATTACACATCGATGGGAAGTCAGTTTTCTTCATGTACTTTAACCAGGCAATTTGCAACAGGTTGAATGCAGAAGCAGATATAAAAATTCAGCTGTTGTCTATTAATCCAGTCTTAAAGAGCATTTAATTTCTAATTTAGCAAATATCAGTAGATGAAACCCCCATTAAAAAGATTCTTTGGGATCCTCAGTAATTTTTTTAGGAGTGTAAAGGCAGTAAGTAGCCTCAGAAGCTGCTGATAAATCCGGCAGACATTTTAGACGACAGGAAGAACTTACATTAGTAAGAGAATAATGCTGTGAGAAGCAGAGAGATTAGAGAGAAACCATTTCCTGTATGACATTTTTGAGCCACTAGGTCAAACCAGCCTTACAGCCCACCCTACTGCTATACATTCCAGTTTTATGAACCAATGAATTCCACTGTAGGTTAAACTAGTTAACCTCAGGTGCCCCAGTTGATGCACCGTGGACCTGTTTATACATATTTTCACCTAAATAGACATATAATGTCTCAGATAATATACTTTCTAGGGTTTACTCTTTCAGCCATTATCATTACAATACCAGTTAGCTTCTGAAGTAAAGTTGGAAGGTAGAACAGGATGTGTGAGGAAAGGAACCTAGCACAGACAAGTGGGGTCAAAAGTGCTGACATTTTTGAGGACAATAAAAAACAGTGGCATATGATCTTGAATAGCAAAATTATAGCAGGTTTTTAATTTTCTTTGCTTTTATGTATTTCTCAAATTGGACAATATGAGCATGTATTGCTTGTATTTTAAGGAAAAACTAGAACTATATTATTATTTTTTAATAGCCCACTGGGGGCATGGGCACAGAGAACAGGTTGGGATTGGGATATAGCAAGAGAACTCTTGGGCTAAAATTGCTAGCAGGAAACAAAAATAAAATAAAATAAAATAAAATTGCTAGCAGGGAAGAAAAAAGATCTGTAAGAAATGCTGATGGGCCCAGAAAACAAATTTCTTTTTATTTACAGTTTGCCAAGAGCCAACCTCAAAGATTCAAGGGGATGAGCAAGAATCCCCAATGGTTACGGAATCGTTAATTATGCCTCAATCAAAGCAGCTGGAATATTTGCAGTTTTTTTAAAAAAAGAGAGAGGCCAATGTGAAGATTATGTCAACACTGGAAAAGGCTTAAGTGAAAACAAAAAAGAGGATGTAGATTATATGCAAGCTTCTATCATGTGGCCAAAATCTGGGAGTGAGTTTGGAAAAAGGAAACAGTTGTGGTGTTAGGGTGCTGGGATCATGAGTAATCTTTTCTTCTTTTTTAAGAAGTGTCCTTTCATGTTGTTATAATATTGTTTTGTTTCGGTTTTTTTACAATAAATAAAAATGAGAGGAGTCATTGGTTCAAATTACTGAGGTCGGGAGTCCTTTCTATATGTTCTGTTTCTTTGCACTGGCCAAATGACTGTCATCTGACACCAAGACAAAACTGTGCCTTCCCCAGGACCTGGCACTTTCAAAGCTCTTAGGCAGCGGTTCTCAACCTGTGGGTCGCGACCCCTTTGGGGGTCGAATGACCCTTTCATAGGGGTCGCCTAAGACCATCGGAAAACAAAAAGATATTTACATTACGATTCATAACAGTGGCAAAATTACAGTTATAGAGTAGCAACGAAAATAATTTTATGGTGGGAGGTCACCACAACATGAGGAACTGTATTAAGGGGTCGCGGCATTAGGAAGGTTGAGAACCGCTGCTTAGGGGTAATACTGATGTGACTATTTTGTAGGTGGCCAGCAGGAAAGAAGGGAAGGAAGTTGTAGCAGCCAAGACTGAAGATGTGTGTGAGATGGGGGCTCTGGCACCCCTGGCCCTCTAGCACCACCTTTTTATGGGGTTCTGGCCCAGTCATTTTCTTTGTCTTTTTTTCTCCTGGTGGGCTTTACCTTCTGTTCAACTACTCCCTCATCTTCCTGAGATGCTGTCCCTCCCTTAGTCTCCAGGGGCTGGAGCACAGCTGCAGCCAACAGAACACAGACTCTGTCTGCTGCCCTGAAGTACAAAGGAAGTCAGTCCCTTGAGGTTTTTCTAGGAATGTTTCCTGTGAGCAATCACTGGAGAGGCAGGGGTAACACAAACAAAGGAGGGAAAGAGATGTTACAAAAACATCAGGGGAAGGCTATCTGCTGGCAGAGGGCAGCTCAAATTGAGGAAACAGTTCCACACAGACTGAATTATTTAGGAAGCTTGGGACAGGTCTTCACACACATAGATTCAAGCATGCCTGCAGGCCCTCATTCCATCCATCCTTTACCCATAAATTAAATTGCA